GTAGTAAACAAACATTTCGTCCTACATTAAAACTTCTCAGCATTGGGTACTCTTGACAGCGCCAAAAATCGATATTAACTACTTCTAACAAGCAGGTTCCTTTTGACTACTGAAATGAAATCAAGTAGGCTTCATTTCTAATTCTAATCACTTCGCATAGTAACACAGTCCCTATTGGATACCATTAGTAATAATTATTCAGTGCTAGTTTTTGATGGTATCCTAACTAATTATTCAGCGCAACAGACATTATTTCGGTATAATCGGTATACTAAAAATGACCCCAGTCAAATTATCTATCAAGCAGTGTGTCCCTTTTTTGTAAGAATGATCACTGAACATTAAATGAATCATGACAGGTCGTCAAGATCAATGATGACAGACTAGGTTTGATAATTTGAAGTTACTCAATAGACACACATGACAAAGCTGGAAATTTTTGAAAAAAATAAAAAAAAATTTTATTCATACAATCATAAACAGTTAGACTGAATGTGAAAACATCCAACATTTGTTTCCTCATTCAGTTACTTAACAGTAATATGCTTGATATAAGACTTATGGATGTGAGATTTAGTTTCTCCAGTAGTGGGTTGGCAGTTGTATACCACTTAAAATTCCAGTATTACAGCAATCTAGTTTTCAGATACTTTCAACTTGTTGTTATTACTTAATTTGGTTCAGCCAGTAGATAAAATAAATCTAAATATCATCTTTGAGCATAATTTAAAAATAGTCAAATAGACTCACGATATTTTATTAAACATAGTATTATTTATCTATTTCTCCTCGTAGTATGTGTACTGCCAATCTTCAAATCAAGACATAAAAAAAGTGTTTTAAACTCTTCAAGATAGTTTTTATTACAAATTGAGTTCAGCAAACCATAGAAAATCAAGGAACACCAGACAGGTACCTCAGACTAGTAGGAAACTCAATAGTATACAATCACTAACCTACATGAAATCAACCCCATAACTTTCATATCTCTCAATGAGCTGATTACATTTTAACCTCACCAGAATGTCGGTTTGCCATTTTATAAAATATTTTTTAACTACACACCTCTAAAGATACATATCTATATATATGTAAAATGACAGAGAGAAAAAAAGAAAAGACGAAACCGCACACCAACCATATTAAACACATGTCATAATCGATAGAAAAGATTCACTACGTGCCAAATAAAATAGAACAGTAAATTATTATTCAATGTTAAGTTCATAATTACTAATCATTACAAACTATATTTGTATGCAATAACATTATCAAAAATATTTGATTAATATGATCGAATTAGGTGGGGGGGGGTAATTTGTTTTACAAAATGTTTTTATTGTACGAATACTCAAATTCTACATTATTTGTTTGAGTCAATTGTTCATTTGTTTATTTGTAAACATTGAATAGTTTTGTTTTCAAATAAATAAATAAACAAACAAACAAAAAACAGTCACAACAAAATTGGCACAGATACAATAATTAAAGTTAGAACATGATCAAAGAGTATTATTAAAATGACTAACTTAGTGATAACTAAATTAGGCGGGTTTTTAATTCAGTTTAATTATAATCCAGTTTAATGTGTAATCTTTTTTTTTGAAATATATTTTAGTATAAATGTTACATTACAAGTTGACAACTATTTATATATACTGTCATTTTGTATGTAAACATGATTAGAGAGAATCATAAAAAAAGAAACAATTCAATGTAGATATAAAGTGGATACTTAGTTCTATATGACTGACTTTTAAAAATAGTTATCAAATTTTTCGATGTGACTAACTTATTGATTTGAATGTCAATGATTGCTGATAGTGTGGGCTACTTATGTCCACATAAGTAGTATATGGTTATGATCAGACATAGAATGTATTTTGGCAGAAGACCGATAACGTAAGAACTGAAAAGAAGCTCAATCGGTACGAAAATACATAAACAATGAAACTAGAGAAGATGGATTGATATTTACAGAAGGAACAGTGAATATTGAGACAATTGATTGTTATTTTGCAAATTAACTGTTTGCTGTATGGTTATCAGATATTAGTAAGATAGTTTGTAATTTGTGCTTAAATACATTCGGTTGTTCCCAGTCGTGTTCGTGTTCACTATATTCGATTGTCCGCACTTGTATTATGTTCACTACAATAGTAGTTATCTTATCTTTATATTCTATAAGATCATGTTTTTATACCCTAAATACTTTCATTTTGCATTTCAGCCATTAAATGAGATGACTTGACATTGGAGTGAACCTTGTTTGATATTTAGTACTTTGAGGTAACTGATACGCAGCTTTAGAGATTTAGGATTCATAAAGAAGAGAAAGTAAAATTCATGAAAGGAATATAAAATTCCTAGGTTCGAATCTCGCGAGGTGGGATTGTGGATGCGTACTGCTGAGGAGTCCCACAATAGGACAAAACGGCCGTCCAGTGTTTCCAGATTTTCCATGGTGGTCTAGCTTCAATTGACTCATGCTTTTTACTATGAAAAATGCTAAATCTCCACAAAACCCCTTCTGATAATTATTATAAGGAATTGTTTACTAGAATAAATGAGTCATGCAGTAGTATCAATGCAAAGTCATTATAAAGTAGCATTAGTGTATTTGGCCAAATGATCAATTCATACTTCTATCAAGGAAGAGATTTTTCAGATTGCTTACAAAATGTGAAATTGATTTATTTGAACATGATCATTGTGACTAACTCTATTAATAGTATTTCTTAAGTTATTGAACAGACTAAAATGTACTTTAAATGCATTTTACTCATGACAGTATACATTTCAATGACTCAATTATGAGATAATACTGCATGATTCAATTAATCAACTATAACTGACCCTTATTCCTGTAGCAAGTTGTTGTATTTCACAGTGACAAGATCTAAGGTGATCAACAGAATGGAAATTAAGAAGAATGGAATGAATGCAACTGATTAATAAATAATAAATAGGATATATTTGAGATAGAATGGCTAAAGAATTAAAATAAAATAATAAAAGTATGGGGTAATGTTGGAATCATTCATTCATTTAAACACATAAATATTGGTACAAGGGGGCACCAGATATATATGCGCCTCACAAATCTCATTTTATTTGTGTTAGGGTTGTGATACTGCCCGAGTGCCTAAACCGAAACAGGTGGTTTCCTTAGAGGGCCACACCCGGAGCCTTTGACCTGAATATCTGATCCACAAGGCAGTGGAGCATCGTAAGGAGATGCAGTCCCATGGTAGCCGGTGGCCGACGATTGGTTCATACACCATTTGTTCCCTCAGGATACTGGAGCCCATGTGCACCATTGCTTTGGAATCAGAGTTTTCCAACTCCCCTAGGTGGACTTTCCGCATCCATCAACCCGAATAAAGCGCCAGACATTCGCTTTTCGTCCTCTCACTTTCGTAAACAACGCCCCCGCCACGAGAAGGCAGTGAACCCAAAGTTTAAAATATTTTTTTCTAAAAATGGAGAATGGATCTGGATTATTCGGACAGATTTTAAAACATGTTTCTTAATGTCAGTAAACATAAAGAACATTTATCTTAAGAACACCATTTAGGGAACCTCGCTGTTTTAATACGGCTTAAACCAATCATTAATGGTTTCTAACATTGAAGATATGTTTTAGTTTATCTAACCCTAACCTTTACCCATCTTACTCTGAATATTTGATTGGTGTATTTTAAAGAAGGAAACTTCTTTCAATTGCAATAATATTTAATTCACTAGTGTGTTCATGACTCAATTAATTAAATACATTTCATATTCAACAATAGGTTCCATTTACTTCAACTTGAATAGTTTAGTAGTATCATAAACCTTAATAATATAAATAATGTGATCAAAAGTAAAAAAAATGAATATATGCTCGGTTATTAAGTAAAAATAAAATAAATTTTTAAATCATTAAAAGAAAACAATCTATAGGTATATGCTTTATTACTGTTTTTTTCAAACTTAACTGAATTCACTTAGTATTGTTTGTTTGAATCTTCCCATTGATGTTTAGGATTGCACCTGGTCAGTCTCTAATCGGCATATGTGCATACTGTGCGTATTGCCTCGATATTGCTTTAATTCACAAGCATTATAAACAAAGATGGATAGTGGCTGGCAGTGGAATCCAGGATGCGCGTTTCCTCCTATTTGGGACTCGTCAGCTGGATGTACCTGCATCTTAGAGTTGATGTTGACTCTGGGACTCGAACCCAATACCTTTCGCTCCAAAAGCCATCGTGTTACCTACTTATCTACTGAGACTGATCAGTTGCAGTCCTAAACATCAATGGGAAGATTCAAACAAACAATACTAAGTGAATTTAAACTTCACCCCATTGCAAAAGCAAGTGGCTATCAGAACTCAGTAGCTAAGTAGATAAAGCAATGGCGTTTGAAGCGAAAAATACTGGGTTCGAGTCTTAGAGTGAACATCAACCCTAAGATGCAGGTACATCCAGCTGACGAGTCCCGAGTAGGACGAATCGCGTATCCTGGATTCCACTGCTAGCCACTATCCATCTTTGCTTCACTGAATTCAGTAACAATATTATAATTTGTATTGAATAATTAAGGTTAATGAAACATTAGTATTACCCTTATGTCACATGACAACTATTATTATTACTATTATAGATAATATTCACTTTTATATTGATAACAATAATGAAATGATGACTTTATTGTTTTACCGAATTGTTTTTTTTTGTTGGTCAAATATGAAATTGATTTACAAACATGCTGACATATACATGTATATGCATTATGTAAACGTGATTTATCAGTGAAATATGTTTCATTCTGAATAAGGTTGTGTGTTTTTTTGGTTTTATTTTACAATGAGTCTACTATAGTTTGATTGAATTCATGATAATGATGATAATGATAGTATAATCATTTATCAACCAATTAAATTCATATCAAACTGTCCAATGTTTCTTATATAAACATTGACCTTATTGAATTCACTCAATTAATAAATTAAGTTGGAGACCAAAAACAAAAAAAAACCCAACTACGATTTTGATTCCATATTCAGTTTTTAAAAAAAATAAGGATAGAAAATATGTCAAATGAACAAATCTCTACCGGTAATACTGAGGAAACAGTGAATTGCCCTAATGAAATTGAAAGAAATCAAGTAAACTAATATTCTATTGCAAATTTTATTTTTAGGATCAACAATATCCAACAAAAGATTATTCTATGCAATTAGAAGAAGTAATAGTAAATCATAATGAACTAGATAAACATGAAGAGAATCAAGTAAACATGAACTCTTTCATTGGTATTTATACTTTATAAAAAAAATAATAGAATGAAACTGTTGTAATGAAAGAAAATGATCAGTGTAAAATAGATGTTAATTCATCATTGGAGATATTGAAAAGTCAAAAAAATGAAAATGAAGAAGAAAACGATACAAAATTGAAAGAAATTTCAGATAAAGAAGATGATTCAAAAAAAGCATCAACTCTTGAAACTGGTGACAAAAATGTAGAACAATCTGAAATACCTGAGGTAATCCTTTTAGCCTTGATTAATTTTTTTGATAATCTGATTAAATAGTGAGGAAAGTAATTTAAAATATCGAATATGGTAAAGGCATGCATTACACTACAGTAAGAAATCTTACTATCATTCATCTATAGTTTTCTATCTGATAATCGTTTGTAGTTTTACAAGAACATATTTAATTAATTAGATGAGTCTTGATAACCATGATTCAGCATTTATAACTTAATGATAAACGGAGGTTGAATTCATTGACTTGAAGTTTAGGCTAATATATATATATTTGTACAATTTTTTTTTAAACAACCCATAATTCAAGACAATTCATAGTAGTAATGTACTACTGGCTAGAAGACTATACTAAATTAATAACTACTCATGGATATAGCACGTTGATAAAGATAGCAATAATTGACTGGTGAAATGATCATGGGACATTGTGAAATGATTGTCATTGTAAAGCATTATCTTACCATGTTGACCAAATATTTACATTTATAAAAAGTCATTGAATCAGATAGCGAAAGTAGTAGTCAGTGTTTGGCAGTAAATAATAACAAACTATCAAATTATACAATTCTCTTATAATTTAAGTCTTTTTTTAGCTAACATCATTTTGTGAATTGAATTTGAAATAATTAGTGAATCACAACTGATATTCAGAAATTACTAACCTATAATAAAGGACTAGATATTATTATGATTATTATGGCTGTTATCAATAAGGCTCAGTCTAGTTGTTCTACGCATTAAGAATAAGTGGTCAAGCTTTGATTGAATTGCCTCCTTAGAGATTAATACTACTTGAAACTTGGTTTTAGGCTGTAAGTATCATATATATGTTTTTGTTATGAACCAGAACCTGTTAATGAATTATGACACTTGCAAAGTTGATCTTCAATAGTAGAGATTATCTTTCTGTGATACGCCTAGTTTGTTCTTATGAAACGTGAAACTATAACTCAACGCGTCAATGTCCAACCATACTTCTATAAAAACAACATCTAATATTCTATCCTTTAGCTGACAATCCACATAGGTTGAAATGACTTTCATTTATCTGGTAAGAAAAAGAATACTATAGTTATATTATATTCTAAATTATCAAATGAATGAACTATTTTGAACTTATTTTCCATCGGATTTTCACAATATTCACTAATCATTCATCAATATAGCAGCTTTCACCAATTCAGCGACAAAAAACTTTCAATATCAGAAGGGGATTTGTGGAGATTTCAGTATTTTTCAAAGTTGAAATTATGAGTCAATTGAAGCTAGACCGCCATCGAAATCCTTGACTCATGATTTCAACTTTGAAAAATACTGAAATCTCTACAAATCCCCTTCTGATTATCATCATATGCTCACTAGTGACTGACTTCAACATACATGTCCTGGAGTTCTAGCGGGAAGCAGTGACCAGTGGAGTTCAACCACTTCTGTTGTGAGATAACAACTCATTGAAGACGATTAGTGAACGGTTGCTCAACTTCGTGGATCAGTTGAAGTTAGACATTAACACCGTTGGATGACGGCTGAGTGGTCTATCGGTTAAGTGCTCTGGCGCGAGACTGGTAGGTCCTGGGTTCGAATCTCACGAGTGCAGGATCGTGGATGCGCACTACTGACGAGTCCCACAATAAGACGAAACGGCCGTCCAGTGCTTCCAGGTTTTCCATGGTGGTTTATCTTTAACTGATTCATGATTTCAACTTTGAAAAACTTTTAATAACCATTTTCTTCACTATGCAAATGATTCTTTTTCAAAATTTTAACACAAACTTCATGGGTAAACGAAACTGGAAAAACTCGTCGAGTTATTAAACATATAAAAAGTTTTTTGAAAAAAAGCAAAAGTACTCTATTCAATGATTGATTTCTTTGAAATCAATCTTCGTAGTACTACACAAAACGTTACGTACAACCAATTTAGACGGTAACTATTTTTACATCGGTAAAGTATAATCAATTTATTTGGTTTGACTTTATATATTTATCTATCCAAATACTGATTACTATGATTACTACTGTGACATAATTATTTATTTCTATCTATCATTACAGAATTCATCGAGTGAAAAAGATAAAGAACATAAGGTTAGTTAATTATTTATTGATGGATACATTTATGACAAACTGTAACTTCCATTAATAACATTGATACTAATCAATCATACTTTTCTTATTTACAGAAGAAAGTCAATCTAGTCAAATGGTTAAAGAAAAATGTACATATACATTTACCAAAGGTAGACACTTTTAATTTCGTCCATATATATATATATCATATTTAATCGTTTTAATCTTCATTATATGATAAATCATTCATTGACAAATGTGTTAAGACAGGCTTATCATTCGAGATCACGTTTTCTGTTGTTGAATATGACATTCCATTTAATTTAGTATTGAGTAATTGCACAGTGTACTAATTTTTCAGTGGTATTTTATCAATGTATCATTTACTCTAAATAATATGAATGTGAATGAATTCAGTTTGGACTTTGTTCAATATATCATACAGCATAGATTTTTGTAGTGATTCTATGTATTGTCTTAGTAGGTAGTCTCTAATAAATAATCAAGTTTGCGTAAAATTCCTATATAAGTAAGTGTCTTTTGAAATTAAAGTTGACCTGTTTCGCATCATTTACTTACTTACTTACTTACGCCTGTTACTCCCAATGGAGCATAGGCCGCCGACCAGCATTCCCCAACATACTCTGTCCTGAGCCTTCCTTTATAGTTCTATCCAGTTTTTGTTCATTCTTCTCATATCTATCTCCATTTCATCGCGTAAGGTGTTTTCTGGTCTTCCTCTTTTCCTTTGACAATCAGGATTCCATGTGAGGGATTGCCTTGTGACGCAGTTGACTGCTTTCCTCAATGTATGTCCTATCCACTTTCAGCGCTTCTTCCTGATTTCTTCCTCCTCTGGATGGAATCTCGTTTGTTCTCTTCCACAGTAGGATGTTCCTGATAGTGTCTGGCCAACGGATCCAAAGTATTTTGAGTAGACAATTGTTAATAAACACCTGTATCTTCTGGATGGTGGTTTTCGTAGTTCTCCAAGTTTCCGCCCCATCCGGTAGAACTGTTTTTACATTTGTATTGAAAATTCTGATCCGCCTGTAGCTCCTCCGGGGGCTATTGCCGGTCCAAAGCCCAGGTAAAGGAGGAGGGTTGGGCATGGGGTTAGCTAACCCATCCCGTAGAAAACCAACTCTCTAAAAAACGCTAACCGGAAAAGAAATTCGCATTATTTATCATTTTCTTATTTATTCCATCAAAGTTGGCATGGTTTCTGGAATTGAATTATATAGTTACTATTCTAGTTACAAAGCTATCTTGATTCATTTGAAGTGAATATATATAGTTTGTAAAAATTTATCAATAGATAGTTTAACGTATTCATAAAGGTGTAGTAAATCGTTCTGGTATATTTGTCGATAATGATCTTCAAAAATTACACTATTTTTTATCCAAACTATGATAGCCTTCCAGTTTAAACTCATTAGTTTCAGTGTAACACAAAAAATGTTACTTTCAAACTATTTGACACAATTGACTATCAAGTATTTCGACAGAACTTAGTATTACCTTTTAGTCCTTAGGGTTTTGTAATCAGTTAAAGCGCAACAACTGAATGTAACTAAAAAAAATATCTTGAATTTCGATATCGTATTTATTGACTACAGTATATGAATTAGCAATCATTTAGTTAACAATGATCATACTAGTCTTAGTTTAGTTATCTCTTAAGCTCAATGATTAATTCTTTATTGATAGTATATGACTTTGTAATTTACTATATTCTACTGCTTTTTTTTTCTCAAATCAACCTTACAGCATCATTCCTTTAAAAAGGAGAAACCCGTTATGGAATGTAAGGTAATCAATTTAATTATAACCGTTTAAAACTTCCCATTATTTTAAAATATTAATATATAAACGAAGGATATTCTTTTAATAAATTTTCCTCAGGTTGTTAAGTTATACTATCCGAATTACAAATCCATAAAAATCAGAAAGTTTAAGGCAAATACATCGTTTATAATTGTAGCATGTGAATAGTTTTAATTTGATATAGTTAAGATCATGGGCCAATTGAAGCTAGACCACCATGGAAAACCTGGGAGCACTGGACGGCCGTTTCATCCTATCGTGGGTCTCCTCATCAGTGCGCATCCACAATCGTGCCAGAGCACTTAGTTAGATCGAATTTCTAGGGACTTACATTTCTGTCCATATGAAATCCTTTCAGATTCACTTAGGTATTTTTAAAACAGTAAACACCTCGATATTAGTTCAATTAATTAAAACTAGTTATAGTGCCATCATATATCAATCATTCTCAGTAGTCTATCTGGTTAGTAACTTTTTATCAAATTTTGCAAATCACAATCTTCCAAACTCTAAAAGTCAAGCTATCCTTACTAAAAAAACAGATCGATATGTACACAAGAAATATGTTCAACCTATTATCTTACCTTATATCAACCACAGAAACAATAATTTAGTAGTCATCTATATTATAGAATAACTTGATTTCATTAATGTACATACAACCTTTACCCTTTTATATTTTCATAACTTAAAATTAGTTTAATTCAGATGTCATAGTCATCACTATTGCTATTCATATATCGTCCACATATATGAATAATTCAGTTAGCACTTAGTTTCCAATTTGTTATTGCATGGAGAATTCATGTCACTTTATATACCATGTAGTCTTTCACCACATATTTAATCTTATTTCTAATTAGATTATTATATCTCTCACTTTATACTACTTACATTTATTTGTCTGTTAACATATAACATAACTGAAAATAACATTGGATATTAGTCACTTAAACACTAACTACTATTGTTTGATTTGTTAAAAGTTCTGAATTCACATGGTATAATTTCTAAGTGACTTATTTACACTAAACATGTCCTTTCCTTTAACTATACATAACATAGTCCTATGAAATGGATCATTATCAGAAGAGGGTTTCGTGCGGATTGCAGTAATTTAATGGTTAAATTCATGAGTCAATTGAAGCTAGATCACCATGGAAAACCTGGAAGCACTGGACGGCCGTTTCGCCCTATTGTGGGACTCCTCAGCAGTGTAGGATCGTGGATGAGCAGTGCTGAGGAGTCCCACACTAGGAGATATCAACTCACTGAAGATATTGTTGAATGGTTGCTCAATTTCGTAAATCCGTTTAAGTTGGACATTAACACCGTTGGATGCCGGCTCAGTAGTCTAGAGGTTAAGCACTCGCGCGCGAGACCGATAGGTCCTGAGTTCAAATCTCGCGAGGTGGGATCATGGATGCGCACTTCTGAGGAGTACCACAATATGACGAAACGGTCGTCCAGTGTTTCTAGGTTTTTCATAGTGATTTAGCTTCAATTGACCAATGAATTCAACTATTAAAATAAATTATTGTTTTATGGGAGAACAGTAATTTATATTGATTTACTTTCCAGACTGAATGTATAAATTCCAATGAAGAATCAACGTCTGATAAACAAATTAATCATAATTCAACTGAAGAAGTGAAAACTATGGAACATACTGAGAATGAGCAAAATGTAACAACTGAAAAGACGCGTAAGTATCTAATCAGAAATTTATTTATTTTTGATGTCCAGTACGAAGTTTATTGATAAAATAAATCTCTTGACAAATTGAATGAAACTGTATGCAATAACTTAGTTAATAGTCATTTTTAAACTGTTCAGTTGTGCATACATATATGAAATTTTTTACGTATTAGTACCGCGACGACATATGAACGTAGAATAAACATGATGATGTAGTAGATAGGTTATAATTATGTTATGTTTATTCGTTTTCCTCATGGTACTAATGCGATATGGGCTACTTGTATCCACACAAGTACTATATAACGATGGTTGGGGAATTAAATGTATTTCAGTAGAAGATCGATGACGAAAGAACGGTAACGAAACGCAACTGGTATGAAAATACATGAACAATAATAACCGGAGACTATGAACTGATATTTGCAGAAGGGATGTTCAAGATTGAGACAATTAATTGATAGCTTGCAAATTAACTGTTTATTGTATGGTTGTCAGATTTTAGTCATATAGTTTGTAATTTTGGTGCCAACTACATTCACTTGTCCTCACCTGTCTTCTGATTCACGACACCAATACTTAGAAAGACTTTCATATATGTACATACGTCTGTACAGCTTGATGATAAATCCTTTGAAAAAAAGATTGATTCGCTGAAATTTATGCTCTTAAGTTTTAAACGGGATAATATATCAGTAGCTGCTTTATTTACACAAACTCGATAGACTAAATCCAAGCCAAATTCAAACCAAACTAAAGGAATAGACAGTTATATTTGTATAGTTATATAAGCCTCAAATCAGAACACTATTAATAACATGGTTAAAATTTTAATATTTACGTCAATATTATATGCTTTAACTGTTTAAACTAATAAGTATGCTCTATATATTTTTATCAAACTTTTAGATGAAACTACCGAATCATTACAATCCACAACTGAGGACACAACAACAGATAATTCTTTAATCACGTCTACAACAATAATCAGTGCACGATTATAATCAACTTATTTCTTTGTATGTGTTTAGCTAATTTATCAGCTTGCAATCTGTTCTATCTTTTATGTAACTTCATTTTTCTTAACTTTGATTATCTATATATATACTACTTATAAAAATATAAATATTTATGGTGTGAATTTTCTTTATATTGTTTATATTCATTTGTATATACTTATTCGTATATTAAGGTTAATTAATAAGAATTCGTTAATTATTCATTATATTTCATGTTAGTCAAGTCTATATTCCCTTTAATATAGTTCTTTCTTTTAAAAAAAGGAATTAATTCCTATACAAGACGTCAGTCAAATCATTCAGTCAGTCACAACGTAACTATTAATTTGAAGGGGGTTTTGTGGAGATCTTAGTAATTTTTTATGTAGTTGAATTCATGAGTAAATTGAAGCTAGACCATCATGGAAAACCTGGAAGCACTAGACGGCCTTTTCGTCCTATTATGGAACTCTTCAACAGTTGGATCCGAAGACAAACTAAAGATGTTGATTTAATAAACTGTCTGTATAAAATGCAATCCAGGCATTCATTTTTTCTTTGTCTTTCAGAGGTTTTTAGTATATCAACATAGTATTTGCTACACATAGAAGTAACCATTTGATACAATCATTTCATATCTCCTGAACGAGTTATTAAAAGCCTTTAATTGATTTCATGTTTAAATACTTAGTTCAATTCAGTGATTAGGTCAAGTGACCATGATTTATATTGTATTGTTGTGACCTTTAGTGTCTAGTCTCTTCAACAATTAAAAAAGCGAAACAAGTATAGAAGCTACCTAGTAACGACCAAACTTTTCATAAAAGATTACTGATTTTAGAACATGGAGTAAATACAGCTATCTTTAAATTTCAAATAGCCCTTAAAGTTCCACTAAAAACAAATAGCCCTAATTTTATAAATCAAAGACTATTCGGTTAGATAAAACAATTTTCACACATTGATAACAATAGGACGAAACGGCCGTCCAGTGCTTCCAGGTTTTCCATGGTGGTCTAGCTTCAATTGACTCATGATCTCAACCACATAAAACAGAAAGTATTCGATAAATATGAGATAGCTGTTATAAAACCAAAGATCGGTGAAATAACGTCTAGGAGTTTGGAGTGACATGCATTTATCAGACTCCTGCTAGCATATGCTTTTCTCTTGTTGACGTAGTTAACGTGCAATAATTTGAGTTCCTTTTCAATACTTTCACTCATCTTATTGCAGAAGTTTTGTCTCAGTAGGACTAGCATTTTTGAAATTCTTGCATATTCGCGAATTTATTCGAATTAACCAGTACTTACGTTCATGTACATAAGGTTTTCAATCTCACTGGAATTCCTGTTAAAGACAATAATACCTTAATCAGATTCTTTGACTGTTTGACTTGATTTGCATAAGACAATGTCATAACTGTTAAGTCCCACGAAGTACAGATTTGTTACTGAATAAATGACTAGTTAGTTATTTTCGAGGATACTATAATGTGATGAATTTTTATTTCCGTACGTTTTAGCAGTCAGATTGTTTAAAACAACTTCGTACAAAACCAATTCCACCCTATTTGTTGTATATCTTGTATGATAAAAGTGTATCTTACACGGTTCTCTTTACGGAATAGGTGGATTGTTACTACGAATGAAATAGAAACTGAATTTCAACCAACAACAAATTTACTAACACTTTTTACCATTTCAAAGGCAACACATTCCCGCGTAAGTCATGAGTATCACTAGATGCATAATTACGAAAATTGTCAACAAATTGCTCATCAAATCACTGGGGGAAACGTTCGGTTAAACTGGTAAAAATAATCATAGAAACCACAAAACTACACCAATGAGTATTTGCCCATGTATTTTAGCCAAGTAAAACTGATTAATAAAAGTTATTGCTACGGAAACTAGACTAGAGTTTTCATCAGGATATAACGAAGAGGTATCTGAAACCCAATAAACCGTTTTTAAGTAATTTTAGCTTATTTATCCGACTTGAAGTAACAAGGTTGTTACTAATGAAAACAACTTTCTAAAAACGTTATATACTACAAGTAGCAAGCACCATCTGGTATATTCTAGTCCCCCTTACTAAAATACTGTTATAATATTTACTATATCTTCTTCTATGGTCTAGTGTGGTTGAAGACTTTACTTAACTCGACAAGTTTCAAAGTCACAACATGACTTGGAGAGAATTATAAGCATATTTCTAAAAAGGAAAAAGAGCTAATCAGCTATACATCAATGATTACAATTTATGAACGGAATAATTATAACAATACAAATCACAGTTCATTAACCAATACAATGATGAAGTATTGAAAATACAACAATGAGCTTCATTCTGAATAAATCGATACACATATCGAAAGTCAATCAACTAAGCTCACTTTAAATCAATTTATGAGTTCTAAAACTTCATTTTTTTATAAATGTAATAAATAGGGACTTCACGTCCCCATTAATCTGGCTCGGTTCAACAGATGTTCATGATCTTGTATGTTTGATCAGACAAATTAGACACATGAAGAAAACAAGACTACATAAAAAACTGTGTATTCAATCATCTAAGAAAGAGCTTAAAATATATTTACAGTCAGGGAGACTGATTCCAAAATAAGTGCGCGAGTGGTCAGTATAACTAAATGAATCATCTACATAGCAACCATAACTTGTACACAGTTGAATGTGGCATGTCCTGAAACACTACAGCCTTAGGTGGCTTGTGTTGTTTGGTCATGCATTCTAATTCCTTTTAGGGATCGACACATATTGACTGATTAATAATGATGGAGAAATACTTGTAGAGACAACAGTCAAAATGAAAACAATTCTTAGACTGTAGTGTGATAATGAGATAATAACACACTCAGTCTTATCAATCACGTTGGCGGATAAGTAACATTTTGCACCATAAACATTCAATTCCGGTAATAATTAAATCCAAACGACGGATACAGATTAAATATGCTCGTTCTAAATGTTTTAATTCCCAGATTGTCAATACAGCCAACTCTGTTTGTAGATGATCTAAGATGCTTTATCAACCAGATATCAGTCGTTTTTGCTTTATAAGTTTGATATCTAGCCAACCAATGTAAGGAATCCCAGACTTGACTCGTAGGACTTCGAACCAGTTACCAGAAAACCGCTAACGATACAAATATAATTAACTCGGCGCCCAACTACTGTGAAACTGCTCACTCAAATTTAGATGTTTTCCACAGATACAATATTCTATTTCTGTTTTGTAAACCCACAGTTCTATTTGGTCTATCAAATCCTCCGATTGTAGTAGTCTCTATTCTTAATAAAGTTAACGACTATTTCTCTATTAGTTCATTTTGTTTTCAATATGTAAATATATCCCCTATATTCTAAATGAGTTTACACGCGATTGCTCCAAGTCTAAACCAATCTTCATTAGTATCTCCTCATAAATTATCAGAATGAGATTAGTCATTTAAACTAACTAGAAACATGAACAGTTTGTTCAAATTGATATTAAGAGCTACTTATAATGTTGATAAGTCGTCCCACATTTTCTGTTTGGAGTAATCTATTGATTGATGGTTGGTAGTAATCAACGTCGTCATTTTATTAATATGATTTGAACATGACTTGATGTACAAATAGTTTTTCATTACGCTTGTTGTTCTTATTTAACTTATATTGTATCATGTTATACTTTTTGACAAGCATTACACATCAAGTTTTACTAAGTCGATAAAAAATTCGTCAACAAGATATCGCATTTATTAATGTATGCGTCCAAAATAGAATATTCGGAATACGTTACTGTTATAAATTGTAGGATACTTGTTATAACGTTAGGGTTTCTTGTTATAACAGTCCTTTCACTTTTTACACGTATGTGGGACGTTAATTTACCTTAGACAAATATCTACACTATATTTCCCACCCAGTGTCTATTCTACAGGACTTCAACACAACTCAGATCAAGAACACGAAATTAGCCTGACTAGAACGTCAATATATTTCCACACCAAAATCCGATACAATCCAACAACAAGGAACAGTCAATACATAGTAAGGATAGGGGAATATATATAACACATATAACACCTGTCATCCTATCTAATGTCTGACTCAGTAAAACACCCAATCATTGACATTCTCGTCCACATATCAGTTAATAACTTCAACTCATTCTAGTAGAATTCGATTGTCAGAATATACTGTATTTCAACAATGAAATAGAATTTAATTACTGTTAATTAAAAATTTGATTAAATTAAAGTTGGCCTAGATTCAAAAATAGGGTAAACATGAATATTGTTATTCAATTAATGATCATGGAAACAATATGCTCGAAAAGTCTGATTATTTGTTAAATAATTAATTTTCACTTAACATCTGAAGTAATCAATGTAACATGTTTGCGCTCTACAGAAGTACAAGTAGGAATAGTTACAGTGACAATACATGCTTATTACGATACTGATACCAAATAATTTTAGGAAATTTTAGACAGATTTTACTCCATCTTCAGATTTATTTAGTCAAAAGCGAGAATAAAGTTTATTTACTGCAAGACTATGTATCAGAAGTTTATCTTAGGATTTTGACCTCTTAGTAGGGTTAAGTTTATCTCACTAACTTAATTAAAGATATCAAGTCACTCGCCGCTCAAACTTGATAATAAATGCACTTTAGTCAGTTCACTGATGACCGGTAATTATCGTTTAATTATACGCCCCCAAATGACCTGGTACGGCCGAGAGTGGGGAAAGACCGCTCTCTCTCTCCAAATGTTCACATGGCCACGTGTACATAGCCTCCGCCACAAAAGTCCTACTCACTGCCTTCTCGTGGCGGGGTGTTGTTCACAAAAGTGAGAGGACGAAAAGCGAATGTCTGGCGCTTTAACCGGGTTGGTGGATGTGGAGGATCCACCTGGGGGAGTTGGAAAACCCTGATTCCAAATCAATGGTGCACATGAGCTGGCTCCAGTATCCTGAGGGAACAAATAGCGTATGAATCAATCGTTGGACACCGGCTATCATGGGACTGCACCTCCTTACGATGCTCCACTGCCTTGTGTATCAGACCTATATGTCAAAGGCTGTGGGTGTGACCCCTAAAAAACCACCTGTTTCGGTTTAGGCACTCGGGCAGTATCACAACCCTAACACAAATAAAATGAGATTTGTGCGGCGCATATATATCTGGTGCCTCTTTGTACCAATATTTGTGTTTAAATAAATAAATAGTTTAATTATACTTCGCGTATATATCCAGTTTCTACTTCTGGTGTCACTGCTATAATTCCATTTTGGAATGTTAAAATGACAAACAGAACATCAGTACATGAAAAGAGAAATAATACTGACTTGGCAAAATAACAGATCCTCATGAAAGTCAATCTATTTATTAACTTGTTACACACTCACTTGAAGTCACCAAACTAGATAATAAACCAAAACCAAGAGAATTAGCCAAAATATCCAATGGTTCATTTAATCAGTATCAAATGACATTTGAATGTTAGTAAATGTTCTATCATCAAACTAGTTCGAATATAAGACAAAATTTCTACCGTTATGATTTTAGTGAAAAATTTTAATCAAATTAATGACTATTTATTATCCCACGTAGTAGAAAAATTAAGTTTTCTGACGTTTCGCGACTCAGTGCAAACCACTTCTTCAGAGAATAAATAACCAAATTAAAATTAACTCAAGTTTAAATAGTCTTGGATCAACTTTGATTTGATGAATTATTCTCTGAAGAATTGACTGATACGAAACATCAGAAAACTTGATTTTTCTACTCATTGGGATATTACAAATATATTAATTTATTTATAACGATCTACTCAATGCTCAATTTATTCGAATCTATCAAGTTAAACCTTGGTAATGATACCTATATTCCCCAATATCGTTAAAAGTAGATGTTGAAAAAATATTGATTACCTTTTACAGAAAACCACTGACATTATTTTCATCCTTTTTGAGAAACGAAATGATAAAACATGAGCTAATGCCATAATTTCCTTTTCAAATACTACATTTCATTTAGGTTAGGAAGAAACTATAATGATTGAACCCGTTACCTAAAATGCATCTCATTATTATCGGAATGTACGTAATAATTCATGCTGAGTTAAAATCTAATAACTATGATACATCTTGAAACAAGATAGAAGCTGCATTTATTATTTTGGCAGTTAATTACAGGTAAACTTTATCAAATATCAGGGTTTTTTTGGATATTTCAGTATTTTCATAGTTGAAAGCATGATTCAATTGAGGCTAGACCGTCAAGGAAAACCTGGAAGCACTAGACGGCCGTTTCATCCTATTGTGGGACTACTCAGAAGTGCGCATCCAAATATATTTGTTATGTTCCAAAATAAGGATATCCCCAAAAAATGAATTAAATTTATTGCCTTTTAACTTGTAACCTTACTAAACTACCTATTGTTTACGACTTAGTTATTTAGATATTCTAGTAATCTTACTGGTCATTATTCTGTTGTCCCATAACAGATATGACCCATCAAAAATTATTGAACGGTAGTAAACAAAAAGAACCACAAAAAAGACCAATTTCTCATTGAAGTAATTTATGACCATGGAAACACATGAAGAGGTAGTAATCATAATAGTAATTCAAGAACAAAAGCCAATATATACATGTGTTTATATGAGAATGAGAGAAAAGCTATTTTAGGCAACTTCAAGTGAATATAATCATACTATTTACAGTGTTAGAAATATTAAATTGAAACAGATTAAACGCTACAAAAAAGAGGGGCAAATAAATAATTCAAAAATGAAAATCAGGTAAGCAAACAAGTTGTAGATTACGATTTCGCCTAACAATGAATTAGTTAACAAATAAAACTATGGTCAAGTTGAAGTAATGTAAATATTTAATAGAGTAAATCAGAAATCAATTTTCAGAAAAACAAAAAAGAATTTCACATTTCACGGTGATGCCAAAGTTTGAGTTCTCGTACTCACGCTGTAGATAGATGATTAAGAGCTGGAGTGAAAAAGAAAAAAGCGATAAAAGACGAGGAAAAGTTCTGTGATAGACATATAGTTTAGAATTTTTATAGTTAAGGTCATGAGTCAATTGAAGCTAGACCACCGTGGAAAACCTGGAAGCACTGAACGGCCGTTTCGTCCTATAATGGAACTCCTCAGCAGTGCGCATCCACGAACCCACTCTCGCGAGGTTCGAACCCAGGACCTACCAGTCTCTAGCCAGAGCCCTTAACCGATAGACCACTGAGCTGGCATCCAACGGTGTTAATGTCTAACCTCAACCAATCCACGAAATTGCACAACCAACTTCCAATAGTTTAGAAAGTTGACTTATATCTTGTAGTGAGTGAAGAAAAAAAACATCAGTAAGGGGATTATTAAAATGTAGCACAGATTATGTTTAGGGTCATTGATGCATATATACATTAACATGAGAATTTTGAGACACGACTAGAACAGTTTGTTCTCCTCAGAGGAAGGGTTATACATATCTATTTACTATATATGGAAGAAATGAAATAGGATAAAACCTAGTAAACATTACAGTTTCAAATCCTGTTGGATAAAGTTTTAAGTTGTTCATATGAATCCCTGAAAGAAATACCAAACGTTTGCAAAGTTAATAAAAACCCTCAGTTATTTGTGAGAATTAGTGAATAGTGACTCGACATCATCATTCACATTCGCTTCTTTTATGTATTCAGTGGATTCAGAATTACCATATACAGAGTGTATACAAATGCGTTTTCTTACGGGTCCTAAAAGATCTGCTGGCCACTTTGCTATAGAGTGGTTTATTTATTTAAACACATAAATATTGGTACAAGGAAGCACCAGATAAATATGCGCCTCACAAATCTCATTCGATTTGTGTGAGGGCTGTGATACTGCCCAGGTGCCCAGACTGAAGCAGGTGGTTTTCTTAGGGGGCCACACCCGGAGCCTTTGACCTGAATATCTGATCCACAAGGCAGTGGAGCATCGTGAGGAGATGCAGTCCCATGGTAGCCGGTGATCAACGGTTGATTCATACGCCATTTGTTCCTTCAGGATACTGGAGCCCATGTGCACCATTGATTTGGAATCAGGGTTTCCCAACTCCCCTAGGTGAACTTTCCACGTACACCAACCCGGTTAAAGCGCCAGACATTCGCTTTTCGTCCTCTCACTTTTGTGAACAACACCCCGCCACGAGAAGGCAGTGAGTAGGACTTCCCTGGCAGAGGCTATATATTCGCTGGCCATATGAGAGCATTTCGAGAGGGAGAGGTGACTCCCCCCACTCTCGGCCGTACCAGGGGGGATCCGGAAATATCAAGAATTGGTCGAAAAGGTAGGCCAGATTTGTGTATTTTAGGCAAACCATTTAAACGTGGTATTATCGATTTCGATGGTTTTATGAACTCGTAGGTATCTTAGTTGAATAAGTGATCATATTTCACTCACACAAGAACTTCAATCACTTGGTTTCCGATCATTTCGATCTTGTTTTTTTTATTGATTGGTTTAGAGAACTTGGTGTCATCTGATAATGACTTAATCATTTTTTCGACATAGACCTTACGGTCTAACAACATTAAACCTGCACCTTCATCTGGACGTGTTATAATCAAGTCTTTATTGTTTCTAAGTAGTTTTAGTTGGTTTCTATGCTCTTTCGTTAGAAGACCTTTACCTGTTACATTTGTGCTGATATACTGGTTGCAGCTATTGAGAAGAGTAGATTTAAAACGTTGGAATTCTTGGTCAGAGACTGAACTAAAACCTTTTGTTTGTTTGATTAAATTTTCAAACTGAATGTGTGTGAATTTCGTTGATTTTTTCATTTATGTCACAGAATTTAATCCCCAGAAATAAGGCTTTTAATTGTACATTTGTTAAGGATATGGAGGAATGATTAAACACATATATATCACAACTGATCGTAAATTTATGTTGTGTTACTGTGGTTTTTAAACTTTTAGTGAGATTCGATATTAATTTTCTCGTGCGTTTGTCAATAACTGTGGTAACATATTCGGTAAAAAGACTATGTTTATTAGGTGATAACTCATCCTTTTGAAGGAAATACTTATCAATAACGGATATTTTTCTATGTTTATTGACAAGAATATAAAACATAAACCGCTTAAAGCACAAATAACCTCGGTTGAAAAAACACTTTACATGAACATAGATTTTAAGGGGGGGATAGAGCTACAAACGTTCCGAGTCCCTAAAAAGAACGTTTCTCGCAGCAACGTTGCGAATAGTGTTCACAAACCGATCATTGTTCATCAATAATCTTAAGGATAAATTATCTCATCTGACCAAATCTATGTGCATTTACCAATTCACCTGCTTATGTGGAGCCAGGTATATAGGTCGTTTGATGCGCACTTTGTTCAAAAGAATTCAAGAACATTACCCGACTTGGCTAAAAAATAGGCAGAAACAACTCGATAATCGAACGCTTTATGAATAGGGGTCACTCAATCAAAGCGGACTCTGAGCTCAAATTCATCCACAAGGTAAGTGTAGAAGGCAGTTATATTGCATCTTCTTAACATTGTCGAAGCAACAGCTATACATATGGGAAAACTAGAACTGTATGTCCGAAAGAAATTTGTACAACCTCTTCTTCTACCATGGTCCAAATGTCTCATAATTTTCCTCCTACTTCATACTTTTCTTCCTTTATAGCCATCTGCTTCCCCTTCCATTTTCTCCATACACCTTCTACTTCCAGCTAGTTTATTTCTGTTTCTATGATCCTCCTGATTACATTTCATCTCAATTTCAACACTTTATCTTATCATGCTGAGTCATCCTTTCCCAATGATAATTTCCCTATCTATCTTTATGATCAATATTTAAACCCTTAACAATAAAATTATTATTACTTTCCCTTATTAAAAAGAATTTGTTAATACCTTTGTTTATTCTACCTCATTGTTACTATTTTTAACAGAATTTTATCACTATTAGTGTAATTGTTATCATCATGAAAAAAACGCATACACATATGAGATTGTATAGCTTTGAAAATGAATCCGCCGAAACGAGAACTCTTCGCTGAACTAATCTTTCTTATTTAATAAACAATTTAGACGAGAAATATTTATTAATCGTTAATCCTATATGAAAGTAATTTTAGTCAGGCGGTAGACTTATACTTCTACACAATTTAGGAAATTAATTAAAGTTTATTATTTTTCAAGTGCATATTGAATAGAAAACCTTACTTGGTTAATAGTTATAGATTTTAATTTACGATTTGGGAATGTTTGGAACATTGTGGTCAACAAAGTAAGAGAATATGTACACAAATACTTTATCAATCAGTAAGTCACAGTTGTGGACCTAATCCAATTTGGATAACTCAGTGCTAACATCAGTCACCGAATCAAAAACTTGGATCAGTTTTATGGAAAATCCGATATATATATATATATATATATATATATATATATATATATATATACTGAAGTACAACTAATTAATCTTTATAGTTCCTAACAAAAATCAATCTTCTAGTTATATGCCACATAAAGCAATGAAAATTGAAATACAAAAATATTCTAAAATTAAAAAACTAATCAAGATTCAAAAATTAACAAACTACGTTGGTGGATCATCGGGACATTGAAATCCGGCAGCTAAAAGTGCGTCTCGAGCAATTTGACGATTAGCTTTAATGACTGATAATTCATGTTTTATAGTTTCATAATCATCTCGAATATAACTTAAATTCAGGCTAGTTGAATATAGTTCATCCAAGTCATTGCTATCATTATCCATTTTCGCGAACAATTTGTAATTCTCACATAGTTTTCGCATTTGTTGATATGTATCCTCAACAGCAGTTTGATTATTTTTGGATTCTAAAAATAGCATAAAATTAAAAAAGAAATTAAGAAAAGTAGCATTACGGAACAAACTACAAGAATAATACAGGGATGAGAAGTTCCTATAGAATAGATGGGATGTGTTTAACATTAGAATCTAGAAAGCGCGTTTTGTTTTATTCAAGACCCATCTCTTGGGTATACGTTCAATCAAGAATATCAACAATCGGGTAAGTCAAACTTTTGCACATTAAATTGGAAAATAAGAAGTGTTCAAGTGACAAATTTAGTCAAAGTACAGCTATACTGTTATGCTGCTATATACTACAACCTTTAGAAGTACTAAGATTTAAATGTCTATATTTCTGTAGTGAAAGAGTATGAAGTTGAAGATACAAACATCTATAACCAAGTTGTCTGGAATTAAACCCATTAACATCGCGGAAAGTACTACAAATTTTTTATACCTAATTTGAAACTTTATATCAACACAACAAAAAGTCAGCTAGATGGAAATATTAGGACAAAATAATAACTCGTATAGCAGTTGATTAAAAAAATAAGTGAAGGACATAACATTCTTGAGAGATTAACACCTGGACCATAGCATTTAGTGGTGAGGAAATCCTGGTTTCAAATAATTAGAGAAGAAACAACCGGTGTCTGAATAGAACTTCACGATTTGTGAGATTAAAAAATAAGTGCTGTTGTTTGGCTCCTAATCGATCATCATATTCAAAGAAATAAGATTATTACGCTTGAAAAGTGACAAATGGATGGAAATTATTTGTAAATTAGTAATACTTACAAAAATTAATGACCTCATTATGTTATCATCAACACAGGATCTGGTTCAAATGTGTATCCCAAACCATCAATCTATAAATACATTGGTGTAAGTCAGTAAAAAAGCAACGGTATAAACAAACCTACAAAATTATTCAAACAAAGCTTACCTTGTAAATTGGAATCCATCACTGGCAAAAACCCACTACAAGATAAATGATAGGTAAACAAGTTACAACGTAAATTGAAGGGACATTGAACTGAACAAATTAAAGTTATGAAAGTAAGGCTTTGTGTATAGAGAAATAAAAAAATAAATATTAGTTCAAATAATAAGTGTTTACCAGGTTACCAAAATGCCAAAATAAAAACATTGTCAAATTATACTTTGTGAAATAAATTCAAAAATGGTTATAACTAATGCATTATGCTTTTGAAGTGCACTTTGTTATAAGTGCGCGGATTGTATGTGTATATAGATAATCAGAGGATTAAATGCTATTTATTTTTCAAAAACATAATCACTAGGGCTGAGAAATGCAAGCTGAAAAATATAAATAGAAAGCTAAAAGCCGAATGGAGAGCTTTTTCTGAATAATGAGAAGTCTTCGCAAAAAAGCCAGTGACAATTAGCAATTGAAACATAAGGGATAAGTATTGTAATTGATATCAAAGTAACAACAAACTAAGAAGACTAGAACTCGACTAAAACGAATTGAAAAATTATTGGTTTGGGTTTCCGGAGGATAAAAGTTGATCATCAGATGTACGTCTTAATCCTAAATTAGCAGTTTTATTTAATGAACTAGTAGAGGTTTGTTGTAATGGCCGAAAACCAAAATGACTGCGAGGTTCTGCCGAAGACGAGTACACGTTTCCTGTGGCATTCACCGCAAGAGGATATACTGATGAATGTGTTGAAACTGAAATTTTCTGAAATTGTTTAGTTTCATCACCCATTTCTGGAACAATATTTGTGAGCAAAGGCTTTTGAGGCAAAATTTTGTAGGGATTTTGTTTTATGTTCGCCACATTAGAAGTATGAGGAGGAATGTTGGACAGTACGTCTTTTATAGTAGGACTATTAGAGGAATAATTAAATAGATGAGCATCTTGTGTTGGTTGCTGGTTTGTAATTTGCCCTTCAAACTCTTGGGAAAACGACAGAGACTGTTTTACATAGAAATGGTCACAATTTTGCTGAGGTTGGTTTAGCTTTGTTGTGCTTGAGTGAGGGCTTTCTGGAGCACTGGCGATGTTTGTATAGCTCCCATGTGGGCTATTCCTACACAAAGAAGCAAGAGAATGCTGACTACCATGTTTCCCAGCAGCAGCTGCTGCCGCTGCTAGGGCCGCAACTTCTGCCTTTAAGGTGTCTTCTTGTCTTCTAGCAATTTCCTGTACATTGGTATTCGCAGTAGTTTCTAACTCATCACATGACCCTGTCTTATTAGGCGGTTTGAAAGAAAAGTTCGCTCCAGTAGAGTTGGACAAGTAGGAATTAGGGTTATGAGAACCATTTTTTACTGATTTACTGGTACTGCACTGAGGTGGTAAACTTATTCTCGGTTTGTGAGAACGTGTGAAAGTGTTCATGTTAACATGCTCATTGTTCATTGTAGGATTTGTTCCTGTCTGTTGACTAGGAAACGAAATACTGTCTGATGAACTAGCGGTTACCAGACGATTAGATAGGATAGATCCATAAATAGGATGTTCTGTACGACCTGTATTCGGACGAGGTGGATATCCTGAAGTAATAAGATTCAAAGATGGCACACTGCCTCCAAATTGATATGCTTCAGTTTGCCCCCCAGCCAAAATGATCGCCTCAAGGCGTGAAAGAAGATTTCGACGCGAATGGAAAAAGCAGGAATCTGGAGAATCAAATATAGCACGCAACCATGTTCTTATGGGTTCAATAGATCCTTGAGCTTGGTGCTGCTTCGGTGGTTTGAACAACCAACACTCATCAGCAGGAATTCCAGAATTCGCTTTCAAAACATCGTTTTCCGCAGTTGAGCCATTTGTATACATTGGATTCACTGGTAATTGAGTTAATTTAACAGACGATAAGCTATTGGAATTGCCTAAACAGTTCTCACTACTTTTCACAAAATTCATATCATTTGAATGACCAAAGTCAGAGGTTAGGTTATTAGAGTTGTTAGAGTTAATTGCATTCATGGTACCTGATAATTATAAAATGGAAAGTTATATTTAAACTGTGTTATGTACAACAGGCAAAAGTCTGAGAAATAAATTTTAAATTAAGCTACTGAATATCACATGATACGATTAGTATAGAATGAAAATAAAGCCTGAAATTCCGGAGTGAAAACCAACTCTGGGGTGCAGACATCTCCGAATAAGTCCCAAATAGAACGAAACGCACACTCTAGATTACGTTGCCAGCCCCATTTCATCAATTATATGTTTATTAGATGGTTTGGAGCCGTATTCATCTTAATCGAACTCTATCACTTTCTAATGAGTAGACAAATAACGTCACAGAATAAAATAAAAACGGGACTGAACTATACCGACAAAATATAGTTATGATATACAGGACTACCTATTGGACTAAGCCAACTTATATGCTAAACGCTAATGATACTACTCGACATTTTAAATTCGTGGGGTCTAAGGGACATAAATCAATGGTTGGTCTTGTTATATTCGATACGGACAAGGTTGTATGCACTATTTAATACGGGTAGTTACATTAATAAATAAAAAAAGTCAATGAATAAATAATGAACAAAGTCTAGCGACGTTGTAAGTTATTATAGGTAAAAGGATGTTAAATATAACATTAGGGCTGTCAGTCAGCTACAACGTAGGACCAGGCACATATATGCATCGGTCCAAGTTGCCACACCTCATTAGCACAACAAGATTAACACGAAATCCATAGAAGTAGTTACTTCAATGGCAGTTATAAAAAACACCTCATATAAGGATATGAGGTGTTGGTTTGTAGAAATAAAGGTATAAAGTAATTTCAATCTCACGGTTCAATGAAAGACAAGGAGTTTATACACCTACGTCATTGTGATCGCTTCTGAACTATGTCACCCACAGACTCCCACCATTGGTTACGATAGTCACGAAGACCTCAAACAAGTAGTCTGCAACTATCAACATGGCTCAGACTAAAAGTTGGTGACTTCAAGGGATGATGCTACCCCTAACTTTCTTCCAACCGTCTCCAACACTAGTTAGCATTGCGCGCCGTGCTAGTCGATGATTAGGCATGAGAAACAAGTGACTCAAGCATCTCAGCCGATGAAGATTCACAACCTCATCGACTGATTTACTAACACTCCCTAATACCCTGTGTGTAACCTCACTTTTACTTACCCGGTGATCCCAGCAGATGCGAGCAATATTTCTAAGACATCTTTGACTGAATAGTAGTAACTTATGAGTATCCTTTACCCTTAATGGCCACGTTTTGCAGCCGTAAAGTAGAACAGAATGAACTGCTGCGCAGTATACTCGTTCCTTAGTTGATAGACGGATATCTTACCTTCGCCATAGGTCACGTAAGTTGGTAAAAGCCAAACAAGCTTTTTGAATACGTGCACAGATTTCATCAGACACTAAATGAGGTGGCAAAATCAGATGACAGTTCGCCATAAGCTCTCACTCGACTGGTAGTGTTCGAGTAAAGAGCCTTCGCAAGGTCTACGTACTTCTGAGGTACACCTTTCAATGACAAAATGCCACAGAACCTCTCGGTTTACAGAGTCAAATGCTACTTTCAAGTCAAGAAGAACTATCATTGTCGGACGCTAATAAGCATGCCTGTATTCTAGAATCTGACGAATGGTGAATGTGGTCGATACAGCTACGACCAGGTCTGAAGCCAGCCTAACTTTCTCGTATTTGCAGTTCACAAGTCTTTGTTAGGCGCTTGATGATTACTGAGGCTAGTATCTTAGATGCTATATTATTTAAACTAACCCCTCTGTGGTTATCACAGGATGATTTCGACCCCTTCTTATGTATTGAGACAATCAGTGATTGCGACCAGTCAGATGGGATTATATCCAATTCACAGATTTTAGCTAAAATATTAGTCAACCTAATCGCTAAAAATGAAACACCATACTTAAAAACCTCTGTAGCCAATCCATCTGGACCAGCTGCTCTACCTCGTTTCAGATTAGCTATAGCCTTTTGAACTTCAGCTAGGGTCAGGGTTGTAGGTTTAGACAGTCTGTTAATTTTCGAAATCGCGACTTCAATCTACTTATTTATTTAAACACATAAATATTGGTACAAGGAAGCACCAGATAAATATGCGCCTCACAAATCTCATTCGATTTGTGTGAGGGCTGTGATACTGCCCAGGTGCCCAGACTGAAGCAGGTGGTTTTCTTAGGGGGCCACACCCGGAGCCTTTGACCTAAAGGTCTAGTCCACAAGGCAGTGGAGCATCGTAAGGAGATGCAGTCCCATGGTAGCCGGTGACCAACAATAGGTTCATACGCCATTTGTTCCTTCAGGATACTGGAGCCCATGTGCACCATTGATTTGGAATCAGGGTTTCCCAACTCCCCTAGGTGAACTTTCCACGTACACCAACCCGGTTAAAGCGCCGGACATTCGCTTTTCGTCCTCTAACTTTTGTGAACAACACCCCCGCCACGAGAAGGCAGTGAGTAGGACTTCCCTGGCAGAGGCTATATATTCGCGTGGCCATATGAAAGCATTTCGAGAGGGAGAGCGGTCTCTCCCCACTCTCGGCCGTACCAGGGCATTTGGGGGCCAATTAAAACGACCTTGAACTATAGAGGTTACAACTGCCAGGGAACTGTCACATTTAGAAGAGACAAGTGATTAACGTAGTCTACAACAGACTGAGCACAAATAACATTTATGTAAATAACCAGACAATTTAAGAAAATTGATTATTCCCTGGCTATTCACATAAAAATTTTGGTTGCAGGCCGCGAAGCGTATGATAAACCAGAAGTGGGATTACGTGGGAAAGCACGGAACAAAAGCATTTGAAATCCATTTAAAGACATTCCCGAAAATTTCGGAAAGTTGCACGACAGCGCTGTGTAGCTAACATACAACATACGTCACGCAAGAGGTACAGAAAATTTTATTTTCTAACCGAACCAAAGCCTAGAAACAGAATAATTAATAAGACTATGTGAACAAAAACTTGATATCTAAGCCCCGAACAATGAACATAGGATTTGCAATGAAGAATAAATTACGACGCTGGACCATAAATTTACATGGTTTCAGTGAAAATCACAGCCATTACGATAATCTAGTTTAAGGAAAGGCCAGACACCTATTTCTCAGAAATTGAAGTCTCACCGCTAACAAAACGAAGAGCATTAGTATAATTATACTGGGACAACTAATTGGCCTAAATGATAGCTGAAGCTGCCAATCCCGTAATTTTTTACTCGACATTCGGGAAAATCCCAGCCCTATAGAACGTTTGAGGTAACTTAAGTTTTCAGAACAATGGACATTTTCGAAAAAAAAAAACAAGATTTGCAGTTTAACCACTGATGGCCTTTGAGATTATACGTGGTAGTTCAAATGGTAGTGAACGGAATAGAAGGAACTTTCGCTTAATGGGCTCCCGCATCTAGTAACAGTAGATCACCAATATCTCCAGGCAGGGACCTAGGTATATTAACGATAATAAAGGAAAAAAGAAATTGGCGAATAATAATAAGATGTTATCTTTAGACCTTAAGAATAAGCCAAGTTGACTCTTAAAGGACTCCTGAGTTGCTTGCAGCGAATTCCAGCATTTGACAACTTTTAGGGAGAAGTTATGTCTACAGTTCGTTCTGCTGTGTTGTGACTCTAGTTTCTGAGTATTACCCCTTAGGTTTGTGTTGAGGCTAAACTTAAGTAAGTGTTTAAGGGGATGTTCAGAAATGCTAGGGATACTGTAAGACATTAGGTCACCTCTAAGAATAGTTTTTAAAACTTAAGTGACATGATGTTTTTCTTCTTTAGTAACGTAAGGTATTAGAGCAATATAATGTATGCAGACCTCTTAATACTACATATCGTCGTAAATAAACAATACATACGCCTAGGTTTCAAACGAGTGCGTGGTGCGTACAACGTCCAATACCTACTGTATTCAGTAATAATGACTGAAGGTTATCAACCCGTGCCAAACCCTGCCACTTGTTTCTTCCTGAAATTGTTTACTGGTGGGGCCGATAACACTTATTTGCGTAGGGTGTTCTAGCCACTAACCTATCGATGAGAAAAACTGGATCACAATCTGTTTATTTAAATCCAGTCAATTGGCTTTCTCTCAAATGACAAGGAGATGACTGGTCCTGAGGGAAGGAAAAGAACGGATGTTTCAGCACTTAAATCATTATCTAAGATACGAAATGCCAATATAAGGTCACCGAGTTCTACGATGAGGAGAAAAGGTTTAAATGTCTTGATCGCTCTTAGTAGGTTGTGGCGTTTCTAGCTTACCTTTCGCCTATATATGCGCCGAATTGTCTACTTTCCGCCTATATACACACCGGTCCATGTAACTTTGCACCCGCTATTAAAACACCTAGATCATTACCCCAAACATCTCCTGAGTTCGCTTTCATTCTCACAACACAACACGAAGAGCGAAATGAACGTAAAATATGGTATATATTCAAAAAAAATTATTAAAATCAACGAGTGTAGTGTTGTACAACGTTATGAGTAGTTGGCATATGCTACTGCATCAATCGTTATATTTTAATTGAAACTGTGAGGTGCTAGTATCATTTGAAAAGACCTACAAAAGAAAGAGCAGGTGATGTTTTATTAATGAGGTACATATACTTAATTGCAAATGCCTTTTAAATCAAACGGGCTTTCACAAATAAAAAAGTAAGCACATGTTTAAAAAAGCTTTATTAAAAAGGAAGTTGAACATGAAAAACATTCCATGAATTATTTCTTCTCCGAACGCCTGTTCGCCTACTGAAAATCAAAATAATCTTGTGAATTCTGAAATGTAAGGAAAAAAAGTTCACTATATCTGAATGACTTCTTTTGCACAATTGGCTACTTGGAGCTGAACTTACAGTTATGTTCGTTAACACTAAAGACTGTACCTATAGATCAGTAGATAATGGTAATCACATTAAATTCGTACATACGTATTCTTTCTTCCTTCGATTGCGTTTTTGTTCCATGTCTCTCATGTCGTAAAAATAACCTTGCGTCGCGATGTCATACTGTGTCGCATGGTCTTTTTCGCTGACAGATGATGACAGGAATCAATTAGTAAATGCACCTGAAGTTTAATAAAGATATATATCTTACTTCGTATGCAGCTGTAAAGCCTATGTTTCTGAAGTGCTTGATTTGATGAAGTTATAACTCCTCAATCTTCCCATTTCGGTGGGAATTTTGCCCGGTTTGGGTAAATTTTGGGGATAATTTTGGTCGAGGACGCCCTGAAAGTGAAAAGAATTGCCAGACTTAACCGGGATCGTGGATAAATTGTGACATGCCAGTGTACTTGCCGTTATATGCTACTGGCATATGTAAGAAGACAAACTCTTACACGTAAGCTTGATCAATTACGAAATACAAACTTTATAGTTTATCATACTTTTAGATATTGCAGTCGATGGGAAATAGATGACACTCACACCTTCCATAATAACAACAATTTCACCACGCAGACTAAGCAAACAGTACGTACAGGTTCAACGAGGCAAGTTTTTACTTAAGAATCATCAATATATAGGTAAGACTGTAGTCACTCTAACGCTTGTCTTTGTATAATATTCTTTACAATGGAAAACATGGGTCGCAATACAACAAAGTGTGGAGACGTTACAGGAACCGTTTACTTGAAGATGTTCTTTGTAGTAGCATTTTTAACTTAACTATACATCCAACTTGTAAACTAATTTTTCTGCATCGAATTTCGCTGTTTCTGTACCAGTAGTAATAGTGCATCAATAAACTTTTGCCCAAACTTTATTTTCGTCTCCGTAGCTTCATCGGGAGATATACCGTTAATCATTACGAGTAACTGTTGGTGAAAATTAAAAAAGCTACTATGTGTTTGCTTTATAAGTACCCATCTAGCTAGAATATTGCGTTGTATGCATAAGTTTCTCCACTGTGACAGTATATTCGGATGAATACTTGTAGTAGCATTGTTTCCTAACCACATGGTCTCCGAAGCCAGTCATATAACGACTGAAAAGATGTATGTTCGACACATAACACTTGAAGACGGTCGGCAGTGGTGAACGTGGAGACATTCATCCAATTGGATGACAAATTTACCGTTTCCAAATTAGGTCTATGTAATTATTTGAAGTATTTGAATTATAGTATTAACTAGTAATCCCAGCAATAACGCATTTTCATCAAGAAGTATTGGATGAACACGAAAGATTGTACTGTGTTTGGAATTCAAAATCACAGCAGTCATCAATACAAAGAAATCATTGGTTCATATAAACACCACCGTTTATTATCAAAGTAGTATTAGTACCGAACTAGACTATAATTATACCTACTAACAAGATCTATAATGCGAAAAGCTGTACTGTTGTTATATTATTATATTTTGATAGTTCATTAGATGAATAAACGTGACAATAGTCAAAATATAACACAGTTATCGTTAACGTGTAAATTGTTTTTCCATATAATCTTTCATATTCAGAAATTCGCTAAGTTGCAAACAGGCACAGTCTTGATTATTGGAAAGGTTTGAGCCTTTCAGTTAGTTGACAGAATTCATAAGTTGTATGTCAGAAAACGAATGCATAACTTCCTAGTTTACTCAATGCAATTCTGAAAAACAAATCAATCGTGAAACAAACTATTAAATTTCGTTCTCAGTATCAAATTCAAAAATCAAATGAAATAGAAGCTGACAGGATGTACCTAAAAGTGTCTTACTTGTTGTAAACAGTGCTTTTTATTTTCTAACCCTAATATTTCATGACTACGACTGTAGCCCTCCTAGAGTTACTGCTGGTCCCAAGCAAGGGTAAAGAAGGAGGGTTGGGCATGGGGTTAGCGACCCCATCCCGTAGAAAAACTAACTTGCTAAAAAAATGCTAACCAGAAAAATAATTCAAACCATTTAAACTCTGCCCTGAAAATTGAAACAAGAATTATGACGCCTCAGGATGAAAGCCGAGTTTCATCGAAAGTTGAGAGGCCGATGCACCATCCAACAACCAGAGCAACACTCTTTACAGGTACATGGATCGTCCGGACAATGTGGGAGACCGAGAAGACCAGTCAATTAGCAATGGAAATGAGGAGATACAAATTAGCAGTACTTGGAATCAGCGAAACTCATTGGATACAAACCTGACAGCAAAGGCTAGATACGAGAGAGATGCTGCTGTACTCTGGTCACGAAGAGGAAAATGCTCCACACATTCAGGGAGTTGCTCTAATGCTGTCCAGAGAAGAACGAAATGTATTTGTAGGATGGGAATATCATGAATCCAGAATAATCAAAACATCATTCAAAAAATGAAGGAATGGATCACAATGAATGTTATGCAACGTTATGCACCCACCAATGATAGCAACGACGACGATAGAGATCAGTTCTACTCAAGGCTTCAATCATTCATAGCGAAGTGCTTAAGGATCATATTTGCATGACTAAGAATTTTAGAAGGTTAATCGAAAACGTGAGAACCAGGAGAGGATCTGACGTAGCTTCAGATCACCACCTGCTTGTGGCCGAAATGAGACTGAAGCTAAAGAAACGCTGAATAACTGGACGAACAGCATTACAAAGGTTCGTACAGCCTACCTTCAGGATACTGAAAAAAGTAAACGAATCGAAGATAACTCTCAACAACAGGTTCCAAGCCTTGCCGGATCTACTGAAATGAGAAATTTAGATGGAGGACAACTGGAAAGGGATCAAAGAAACATTAACTTCAACGTATCAAGAGGTTCTGGACCTGGTGAAGCATCATCATAAGAAGTGGATCTCTATGGAAACCCTGGACAAGATTCAAGAAAGGAAGAACAAAAAGATAGCGATTAAAAACAGACGAACATGAGCAGAAAAAGTCAAGGCACAAGCTGAATACGCAGAATCAAACAAGACAGTGACGAAGAGCATTAGAGCCGACAAGCAGAAATACACGGGAGAACTAGCAACAACGGCGGAAAAAGCTGCAAGAGAAGGAAATATGAAACGACTTCATGATACAACGAAGAAACTAACAGGGGGATATAGTAAACTGGAGAGAACGATCGAGGACATAGAAAGAAAAGCAATCACCGAGATTCAAGAACAGAGGAAAAGATGGGCAGGATACTTCGACGAACTTCTGAATAGACCAGCTCCATTGAATCCAAAGAATATCGAAGCAGTGCACACAGAATTTCCTATAGACGTTACTCAACCAACAGCCGAAGAAATTTGCATGGAAATCAGACAAATGAAGAGTGGGAAAGCAGCGGTACCTGACAATATACCAGCTGAAGCTCAGAAATCAGACAGTGAATTAACTGCAAACGTGCTTCACCTTCTATTCAGGAAGATTTGGGAGGAGGAACAAAAGCCGACGAACTGGAAAGAAGAATACCACATGAAAATACCAAAGAAAGGAGATCTGAGCAAATGTGAGAATCACAGAAGCATCAGATTGTAGTCAGCACCAGGAAAATGTTTCAACAGAGTGTCGTGAACCAGATGAAAGACACAGTAGACGCCCAACTTCGAGATCAACAGGTTGGATTCCTTAAGGATCGATCGTGCACAGACCAAATTGTGTCATTAAGGATCATCGTTAAACAATCGGTTGAGTGGAATTCGTCACCATACATCAACTTCATTGACTATGAGAAGGCGCTTAACAGTGTGGACAAGGGAATATTATGGAAACTTTTTTGACACTATGGAGTTACTGAGGAGATTGTCAGCATTATCCAGAATTCAAACGACAGACTACAGTACAAAGTCGTGCATGGAGGGCAGCTAACAGATATATTTCTAGTAAGGACCGAAGTCAGAAAAGGCTGTCTACTCTCCTCCTTCCTCTTTCTTCTGGTGATTGACTGAAGAAGATTTCGACATATTAGGGGAAGCACAGAATATAATGGACATCTCACAACCA